ATGAAGTCCGGTCGTTTTTCCGGTTTTGGGATCATATTCCTACCCCATGTGTCACAATCCCGTTTTAAAATTGCAAATTTTTTCCGGGAATCCATACGCAAAATCTACGACCCCTAAAAAACATAGGTGATTTTCATTGACGGGAGAACGACTTCGGGAACGAGCAAGCTAAAATTTCACACTAATGTTCCCCGTATATGTGTAAACCAAAGATTTCAAATTCAGCTACTGCGCACGCCTACGACACGCATGTAGTCACATTAAACTTCGCAGCTGGTATCGCACCAACCCGAAAACTTGTTTGGAAACGGTAGCTGAAAATTGTTAGAGTATTCATCGCCCATCTGGGAAATCGTTAACTAAAACGAGTTTCGTTTTGTACTTGCGCCACGATTTAAGGCACTTCAAGGATATTTGTGGCGAAAATGGTTCGCCTACCGGAAAATCTGTGAGGCTATAACTTTATAAGAGTATTCTCTATTCAAATGTGATCTAAATATAACTTGAAGGCTAAATTCTTTGCACAAGAATATTAGAAATACTCAGCTTTTTTTCGCAACCTCAAAAGCGAGCTTTTCTTGCTTCTGTTCTGACCTGTGCATTGTCAGATTTGTATTTTTTAATGAACGACAGGTCTTCGTGCAAAACTGATAGCCCGCCCCATTATGCGATACCGCCCATCCTAAGCAACTCTTTTCTCCCCAGATAAGCACGAAAACGCCAAAAAACACAGCCAACTTGTATCCAAGTGCTAATCTGTCACGCAGGAACTACTGATATTGCTAACGGTCTGACTGCTGTAAGTTTAACGCAAAAACGCATGGTCACACGGGCACGCCTAGCGTGTGGTAGCCTAAGCTTTTTTTTAATATTAATTTTGTTGCTAAAAATTATTTTATACACAACTTTAATAAATTTTTGAGATTTTACAGCTTGAAATGTTTGTTATCAACCCCATATTTGAGTTTAAAATCAAATAACATCCAGTCTTATCAAGCGTTATGAATGATCTTAGACCTGATCATTGTTTATGAATGTACTGGCAACTGGTAATAAAATGCATGGTTTTCGTATAGCCCACGTTACTGTGAAGAATAGGCCAGGAAGATTCAATGCCCCTGGAAGAGAACACTGTATCGTAGTTGCAGTGCAATTTTGTATTGCATTGTGATCTTAGGGATGGAACAAAGAAGCAAAGATTTGCGCTGTCTCTGTAATCCACTGGATATTGCAAGCACACCTTGTTCGTACAAGGCTTAGACCAGGGCGTCCACCCGGTGTTCTGGGCTGCTTCGTTTTAGAAGCAGTTCCCAGAAAAGTACCAATTTATGGGTGGCTTTAAAGCTCCGGTGTTTTTTGGAATGCCATGCAACATGGCAGCGAAGTCCCTGGAACTAGCCTGGTTGATGGCTGCAAACGGCGCAAAGCGAATCCGCGATGCCCCGCTGTGTTTCCTGGCATATCGGCAACGTAGACAGGGCCCGGAGTTGGAAAGCGTGTTGGTAGACACCACTGACTGGACAGTTGTCCAGTTCATCGCAAAAAAATAATATCGAATAACTTGACGCTGGCGCACGCCCTAGCTTCGGATGCAGTTTAATCACCCAAGTTTAAGGTTTGTCTCGAAAAAACTGAAACTGCTTTAAATTGACTAAAACGTAGAAATTGTTACTCAGTAAAGTGTCAAAGTGAATTGAATCATTGGCAATGCGCACCGGGCCAGTCCATGCGATCACGTATTTTTGCAGTATTTCGTATTGTAATGAGATCGCTCGAAAACCTGGTAGCTAAGATTTGCGAAATACTGGTCCTCAAAGTTCGGGAAGTCAATTGTTTACGCGGTGTATGGACAGGAACATTCCGCTAAAATTTCGGCTTTCCAAATTCTCCGGTTCTAGAGTTAGCAGTTTTCCTGCCAAAAAATTTCATGGGTCCGTACATGAGAACCACACGTATCTAGAAGCTGAATTTGATATCTCTTACTCTTACCGGAGCTGCGGTCATAGCTTTAAAATTTCAGCTCCCAGCTTTCCTGTTTCTCGAGTTAGTCATTTTTCAGCCAAAATATTTTACGGGGCCGTACGGGAGAACCACGAATGCCTGAAGACTGAATCTGATAAATTTTTGTTGTACGTGAGCTGGGAACATCCCTTGAAAATTTCAGCCTCCTAGCTTTCCTGGCTCCTGACTCAGCCATTTTCCCGCCAAAAAATTTCACGAGGCCGTACATGATAACCATGTATGCCTGAGAGCTAAATTCGATGAATTTAAATTTAATATGTGCTGGGAACATCCCCTGAAAATTTCAGCCTCCCATATTTCCTGGCTTCCAAGTTAGCGATTTTCGCGCCACGAATCCTCACGGCGCCATACGCGAGCAGCATGCACACCTGGGGGCTGAATTTGAAATCTTTAATTTCAATATGAACGGGGAAAATAACCTCAAAATTTCAGCTTTCTAGCTTTCCTGGTTTCTGAGTTAGTGATTTTTCCGCCAGAACTTTGACCCTCTCGTACGCTGGGCCCAAACATGTGTGAATGTTGGTATCGCGGTTCAGAGGTGACATTTGGCTGGGGAAGCCATCGGCAGAATTTTGGCGCCAGAGGTTGTTTGGGAGCCGAGTTGAAATACCCGGATAGACAAACAGACACGCACACTGGGGTCATCGCAGTATGCGTTTTCGCATTTGCATACATGCAAAAACGCACCCAGGCTGGAACGCACCAGGCGAGCCGGTGCGATCATGCGTTTTTGCATCAAACTTTGAGGTA